GGGGAGAGGGGGGGAGGGGGGCACTCCCTTTGTCCAAGTGGTAAGGCTCATCGGCAGTCCTTTACGACTTTCCTGTTTATGAACCTTTTAGGGTTCATTATTCATTTTCTTTATTGAAGAAAAATGAAAGAACAAAATAAAGATGTTGTCCAGTCACTGATTAAACGATACATCAGTACAACCACTTTCGATCATTTTATTTGGTTGTACCTTTTAGGGTCTGAATTATACGTGACTTCAAAAGCTCTTTCTACCGCCGATCACCCCTTGGACAAAGGTACTTACGTTCTTCAGCCTCCCACCAGCATTAAGCCTTAAAAGTGTTTTCACTCTATTGCTTTTATCAGGCCTCTTGGTTTCTAATGTAATAATTAAAAAAAAAAAAAAAAAAGCTTAAGGGCAAGCATTTACGTATAAGCCTTAGTAGTTCAATGATTTCCGGATGCTGCGTGGTCGGCACAAAACGAAGGTGAAAACCACACAAATATAAAAAGTAACTAATTGTTTTGGGGGAAAATATCTGCATTGATAATTTAAAATGGAGTTTTATTGGAAAAAAATTTCTGAATCCAGATTCTAATCTAAACACTTTGGAATCTTTAATAATAAGCTTAAATTCAGTGAAGTGGTATTTTTCAGTAAATCTTCAAGAAATAAAGTAGTATTTCCTCGTAATGACAAATCTCACAAAAAAGTGTTGATTATAATATGTATATTGGCGAAAATGTATGGGTGTCATTAAAACCGTGCGTGCAATTGATTAAAGAAGGGCATAGATTTAGAAAAAATCGAGATCCAATCAACTAATGAGAAGCAAGTTTTTTTTATGATTAAGAGTGGGCCATCAAATGAAGATTTTAATCGCTCATGTGAAAAAAAAGATAAGCAAGCACCTAAGCAAATATTTCATGCATCTTAGCAGTCACTTGGTAAACCTCAAGTAATACTTTGAATATTTCCTAGACATCAAAGATGAATTAAGTGATAAGCTGCTTTATTCGCATTAGCCTCACTTCCTTATTCATTAAAGCTCGAGGAACCTATTTACTTTTATATTCCGTTTTTATGTATAACTACCATTCAGGAAATCTAGCAAGTATTTTTGATTCATTCTTTGTTAAATCCTCTCAAATACATAATTACAATACAAGACTTGCATCAAAGTCGTCATTCTCTCACACATGCGTGAGAACCAACTAATAAATTCAGCATTAGATTCAATCGAGTCAAGCTATGGAATTCAATAGACACTATAAAAACACTATAAACATAGTCCCAAGCTTCTTGTTACATTAAAGCCCAAAGATAGAATTGGAACTTTAGCGTTTGAAAACCGGAGAACTATATCCAGTGTATGTTGAATAATCGGGGGGGGATTGGAGGGGATTGAAGCAATGTTCTATAATATTCTAGAACGGTCTATTTTTCACATTGAACACAGACTGTG